TGGGAAGGAAGTCTTCCCTTTTAAGGTGCTGAGGTTGCCCAGAGCAGCTGTGGCTGCTCCATCCCTGGTAGTATTTCCAGGCCAGGTTGGATGGGGCTCGGAGCAACCTGGGCTAGTGGAAGGTGTCCCTACCCGTGGTAGGGGTGGAATGGGATGGGCTTAAGGTCCTTCCAACCCAAACCATTCCATGACTCTCTGAATAGGATTGATCTGTGCATCCCCTCTATCTTGGAGCAGAACTGCCCTCTCCAGCCTGCGCTGGAGGCTGAGGCAGGGTGACTGGGATACTCTAATCCAGAGTAGGAAAGAGAAATGTCTGCAGCTATCTCTGTGTCCAAAATAAAACCGAGGAGCCCCCACCTGCTTCTCCCTGTCCCACAGATCCAGTGCAGGACTCTATCACTAGCCCCATGGGCAGGACAACTTGCATTTTGGACTGAAACACTATTCCAGCACCACTGAAATCTGGGTAAGATTTGGGGTTTTTTCCCACGTTTGTTTTGCCCACAGAAACTGTGGAAACACATCAAGCACAAGTATGAGGAGTGAGCAGCTCAGCAGCAGGAACCAGCCAGCCTGGGGTAGCAACAGGCACTGCAGGGAAGGATTCAGCCTCCTGAGACTGCAAATGGATTCCTGATGCAACAACTCCGAGCCAGATTCTATCAGCCACCTACTGATACCATGTGAAGCAACATGGACCCAGAGTTCTGCTGCTGTAGTCCGCTTACTGTGTTCAAATAAAGCTCTTGGTCCATGTCTGTGTGTTCACCTCACTCACCCTTTGCCCTCCTGGGGACTCCTCCCTCTCTAGGAGGTGGAGAATGCCCAAGCACTGCCCCACTCCTTAGTTCCATGACACTGTAAGGAATGACAACGTTTTAGAAAGGGGTGGAGGGCTTGAGAGCACTTACACAGCTCTGCTTCAGTGACACAGCCCTTGACTTCTGCCTGAGGAGAACTCCGAGGGGGTGAGGAGCTGTCTGCTTCCTTCTGCTCTGCTCACAGAAAAGGAACTTTAAATCATTTAATCATCATTTGTAGATCATTACAGACTTGGTGCAGCTCCTGGCTGGTCACCTTTCTGAGCTGCAGGTGCTGCTGCACCCCTGCCCTGACAGAGGAATCTGCTCAGCCCTTTCAGCCCCTGAGCAGGCTGATGTGTGCCCAGCACTGTGCTAGGCCAAACATGGTAACAGCTTGTCCAAAACTTACTGAAAAGGGACATGGACCCCTTTCCTAACTACTTCCGTGCCTTTTGGCTCTTCAGATGGTTTGAGGTGCAGAAGTAATGTGTCAGGCTCACACCACCAGCCTGCCTCCAAGGGGAGCTGCTGGGAGGGGAGAGGAATCCTTCAGTTCCCCCCAGCAGCTGGCTCAGAGGAGTCATGGGATGATTTGGGTTAGAAGGGACCTTAAAGATGATCCAGTTTCACCCCCTGCCCTGGGCAGGGAACCTCCTCTTGCCCTGGGCAGTCATTTCTCTCAGCAGCCTCACTGCAGGGTCCAGCCCTGACTCTGGCCCCTTCGTTCACCTCTTTCCTCCCAGGGAAGGGAGATTTGGGTACTGTTGGGGTAATGATTCAGTTCATTACTCAGCTCTCAGGTGGCTGTGGGGAGATCTGGATGAGTGACTCCTGCTCTTCCCCTGTACCAGCCCAGAAGGCACATCTCTCCCTCTTTATTTTCCCTAATCAGGAGGTATTTCAGCAATGGCTGAGGCAGAGCCCATTACTGCCAGAGCTCATGGAATCAACTTTATTGGCTTTGCAAATAGGTGGCAGGGGCAAAATATTTACTCTAAGAACACAATGAGGACTTTAAAAAACTATTGTGCTTATGTTTCCTGGAGCAAAATCCAATCACAGCTTTCCCAGCCCCAGCTGTGCTTTCATGGAGGTGTTTAAGAGGCAGGTTGAAGCTTTCCTGGGACAATCCCAGGTGCTGTGAGTGCTGCTTCTGTGCCAGCTCACTGCACAGTGCCCACGCCATGCTGAGCAGCTGGGAGAGAGCTGCAGCTTCGGAGCAGCAAGAACCAAAGCTGAATGCAGGATTAGGAGGGGAGACAGCACTGCAGTGGGCAATGCAGGATTAGGAGGGGAGACAGCACTCCTAAGCAAGAAGGAACTGAAGCCATCAGTCCAGAGAGCAGGAGATGTAGAACAGTTAGTTACCCCAGCCCTGGACACAGGATTTGGGGGTGTTAGTAAATGTAATTCCCTTTTTCCTATGCTTGTCATCAGGAGCACTGATAGGCAAAGAAAAATCTCCTTCTCAGAGCACTCAGGACTTCATCTTCTTTGCATGACAATGGCTGTTATGCTGCATTTCTACACTTCTGCAAACAGCCCTGGCAGCAGCACTAACCACCCCATAGTTCCACCCTCTGCGTAAAACCAGGGAGCAAGGTACATGCCTAGAGAGCTTACTACCACCTTACTACCACCCTGCTCTGGCAGTGCTGGGGAGCAGGAGGGCAGCACTGGGATTACCCTGGAACATAACCCACTGTGGCTTTTCTCATCATGGGGGTGACAGCCACGGGCACCTTGGCAGTCCTTGAGAAAGTTGTGGTGGGGAGAGGATACTCAGGGCAGATTAATGAAGTAAATTAATCACACAAAGCTTAACTGGTTACCAGGAAGTTCATCTCCAAAAACAGCCTAATGCTCCATGAAAACTGGAACAGCTTTATCACCAGCTGTGGGCAGGTGATTCCAAGGTGCCCAGGAACAGAGCAGCAGCCACTGCTGTGGCATCTGAGCACCTCACAAACAGATTACAAAGTAAACTTGGTAATTTGTGTCTCCATACCCAGGGAACAACCAGATAACCCAAATCAGCCCTTAGGAGAAGCTCTCAGCAACCACAACCTGCTGCTCACTATTGGCTCCCAACCTTCCCACAGCAAACAGCGATCAGGGCAGTTCTGTCTCAGAGTGGGACAAGTGGTTATTGAGGAGGCAGATCCCCTCTGGGGGGACTCTGACCCTGTTCCCTTCAGCTCAATTTCCATACCACTGGCATTTTTGCTTAGCATGCCTTGATCCTCATTTTCCAGCATTTTTAGTCTCAGTGGCCGTGTCTAAATCTCATTACAGCAAACCAACACAGAACAGTGAGGGAATTTCAGTGCCTGCAGACAACACTGAAAGGCTTGTGGAGGTTCCTCTGAGCTACAGATCAATACTGTCTGTAAGAGCCTAAAATACCACCTGAAAGATCAAAATCACTTATATTTGCACAGTCTGTTTGCACAGGCCTCACTCAAGGGACAACACTGTCAGGCACATGGTAGGACTGCTGCAGTGTCCTGTGCAGGGTCTGGAGTTGGACTGAATACTCCTTGTGGGTCCCTTCCAGCTTAGGATATTCTGTGGTTCAAGTTGTACTCAGGATAAGGCATTTCAGTGGAGCAGAAAGCCAAGGGCTGTCCCAGGGCAGCTGTGCTGTGGGCCTGGAAGCACTGTGGAGCAGCAGAGAGGGGCCAGGAGCCAGTATGAAAATAGAACTCTCCAGACTATAAATAGTACAAAAGGGAGGGGATGGCTGGTGCAGCCTGTCCGGTGTATTGCTGTGCAGCCAGTGTCACACATGTCTCTAGAAACTGGAGAGCAGTCAGGGCCTGCCTGGGGCAGCTCCTTCCAGTGGCCAGGCAGCACTCCCACAGGGAGCACAGCTCCATGTGAGCTAAGTACCAGGTATTGAACCATGACAGCCAGTCCCTGAGCCGAGGGAGTGCCAAGGAAATGGAGCCAAACTGCCTCCTCCTGAGCAGAGAACTAGGGATGGTGCAACACCGGGGCCAGGACGCCCTCAGGAGGGAATCATGCCCTTGCTGCGCTTCCTGTCGGCCATGGCTCGGCGGTTGTGGTTGGCTCTTGTGCTTTTGTTTGCTTCCTTCTTCCTCCGTTCCTGCACTGTCTCCCGGTTCTGCCCATGGCCCTTCGTGTTCCCAACAACGGCAGAGCTGCTGTCATGCTTGTGCCTGGAGCGCACAAAGAAAGGACATCACAACGAGCACATTGCACACCTGGGGACAAAACCCCAGAACCCTGAGACAACTGGGTGTGAGGAGTTCAGCCCTCAAGCCTCGGCCCACCCCAGGGCTCCCACAGCAGCCTAGTGTCAGCATCAGCCACACACCACTGTGTCCTCTGACACATCGAGTCCAGCAGCTGAAAACAGCTATTGAACTGTCCCCAGATCCCTGCAGGAGCTGTGTGAGCTCTGGGAAGCTGTGCTCTCCAAGATCCTGGCTGGCCAAGGCTTCTGCTGCTTTAATAAAGGGCCTGGTGGAGCGGAGCAACCTGGGCTAGTGAAAGGTGTCCCTGGCCATGGCAGGGGGTGGAATGAGATGATCTTTAAGGTCCCTTCCAACCCAAACCACTCCATGGTTCTGTGACCTCCCTACCCATTTGATGGGACAGAACAACCAGCACAGAAGTAAAAGTTGGGTGAAGAAGTTCACGCTGCCATGACATACAGCAATGTCAAGGAACAGGTAAACCTGGGCTAGTGAAAGGTGTCCCTGGCCATGGCAGGGGGTGGAATGAGATGATCTTTAAGGTCCCTTCCAACCCAAACCACTCCATGGTTCTGTGACCTCCCTACCCATTTGATGGGACAGAACAACCAGCACAGAAGTAAAAGTTGGGTGAAGAAGTTCACGCTGCCATGACATACAGCAATGTCAAGGAACAGGTACATCCTTGACAATTCCAGTTGGCAGCAAAACACCTGCTAACTGCAGAGCTTCACCCCCCAGAGGGAGATCCTTGCTCACCCCTTCCTCGCGAGGAACGCCTGGCGCCTGGCTTCAGCTCTCTCCCGCAGCACAGCTGGGTCCTGCACAAAGTGGTCCTACAAGGAAGGAGGGAAGAAGTCAGGAAACACATCAGCACCATGCTAAAGACTAGAACAAGAGGGGATTCTGCTAGGCCACGGAACAGTCAATTCCTTGCTCATTATCCCTGGCTGGGCCAGCAGAATTGCTGTCAGGAACTCTAAACACAAAATCTGGCACAAAACCTTCTTCTCATATCCCACCTCTGCCAGCAACACCTGCAGCACCACTATTCCCTGAACATCCATGACAACAGAGTGTCAGTGACCCTCAGAGTGTTCTGCTGGCACTGTCTATCTATGGAATAAAGGAGATTAAAGCTCTCCACGGAGTTAGTGTCACTGCTCCAGCACGGTGAGCCTGAGAAGCAGTGGAGAGTTGTCCTCAGGGAACTGTCACAGCCTGCAAAAGCCACTGGACAGCAGCTCAGCCTTGGCTGCTGCTGAGAGATTCACTCTGAAAGAGGGTATCTGCTCATATCCACTCTGCAGCTGAAGCAGGGAAGACATATGGCAAATCTTAATTCAACTCCAACTAAATGTTACCTTTGTTCTTTCCTTTTCAGCTTCCTCCTCCTCCTCTTCATCCTCTTCCTCTTCCTCCTGTCCTTCCTCTTGTCCTTTAGGTCTCAAGACTTGAGGAATTGTGAATGGCCTGAGAATTAAGACACAAACAATTAGCAAAGACACAGCCACAAACGTTTCTCTGAGCAGCACATCCTCCTTGGTTTGCATCATGTGTTTCAAAAATGAGAATCCACAAATTTCATGGACTTTCTTTTTCTGAAGAAAAGAAAAAAAGAGACCCAGTAGCTAATGACACATTCCTATGGGCAATTAAAAAACACACATCCTTCACTGGGGAATGTTCGCTATGAAGTTGCCACTGAAAATAATACTAGTTAGAAAAAAGCAGCAGGTCAGGGAAAACCTGAAACCTCACAAGGAATTTCTCCAAGGAAACAATGCTTCCTTTGGGAAATGGGGATCCAGACACAGCCATGAGGGAGTAGTAAGGAGTATCCTTTGCTAGGTTTTAGCTCACCAGCCAGGAACCCTCAAATCTCAAGCCCAAACTCAGACACAAATATTAATGCTCACAGGTGTTGTGCTCCAAACCCTCTGTGCCTGGTCAGGGGTCATCAACAGAGCCCCAATTTCATTGCTGTGCCCCAGTTTCACACACGGGAAATACTTGGAGAAATCCATCAGGCTTTATGAATCACCCTGGACACGCAGAGCAAAGGACCTGGGGGTGGAGGCAGAATTTACCATATGCTTTGTCTTTAATTTATATGTATGTGCCTGAATGCTGCTGGAATCCAGACTCACCATGCCACTGCCAAGGAAATACATGTAAAACCAGAAAAGCCTTTGTTACTTCAAACCTACAGATGTAGTTTTCAGCAGTAACATCCACTAATTGCTCCTGGGGGCAGTGAGCACTCAAAATAGGGGGAGAGGCCTGGGTGCCACACTGCTACAGGCAAACCACACTAAGGATTTAAATCAAAGCCTCACCGCACTTCAGGAGGGAAAAAGAAGGGACAAAGGGACCCTGAAGCTGCACTTTGGTTTGAGGTTAGGAACAGTGACATTTTCATAATACATCAGAATTGAAAAGGCCACTTTCAGAAATGCTAAAGCAGCTTTTAAACCACGTGTTGTCTAAAATAAATATTCTATAGCCTCCATCCCAAACGAACCCTTTGCTTCCTGAAAGTGAATTGTCTGCAGCTGTCAGTCATTGTGCAGTGCTGTGCAGTCCACCAAGGACTGAATCCCAGCTGGCAGCACTCAGAGATGTCAGAGGGACAAGTCCAGCTGTACCACTTTCCAAATGGTGAAGTCTTCCTTTGCTCACCAGCCATTTTACACTGTCTGCCCACACTCCATCCTGGTTATCCAAGCTAGCCTGTTCTCCCTCACTGCAGGACAGTTTCTATAAGCTGAAGCACTGCTGAGTGCAAGTTTCAGCACAATGGCAGATCACCTCTTGGATTTGTTGATTAGTAGATGCAACTGAGTCAGACACAGAAAAGTGGAACAAGGGGGTCCTGGGTGCATTCCATGACAACCCTCCCTACTCACAGGAGAAGGGAGACCCAACTCTCCCTCCTTGCATGTCACAGTTAAAGCAGCAACAGAAAAGGTGGTTTGAAGCACACACACATACTCATGGAGGAATAGAGCCAGAACCCAATGCTGAGCAGGTTTGTGGGAGCCAGACAACCCAGCAGTGCCTCCCACCAACCTTCCTTCTCCAAAGCCACAGCACCTACCTCCTGCTGATCAGCTCATCATCCGAGTCAGCATCGTTGGCCCCCACTTGGTTCCCATCGTACGTGTCATCGTACTCATCCTCGTAGTCCTCGTAGAGCTGAGCCTCTCCAGGCTGCAGGGGAACCTCCTCCACCACCACGCTGTACTGGCTGTAGCGCTGCCTCTGCGCTGCCACCACGCGCTTGTCATTCACCAAACTCCTGGTCGTGTCCTTCTCCCTCCTGCACACATGGGCAATGGGCACACAGCAGGGTGTGTAAAAACCTTCTCTACAAGTTATTCTTTTCCCTATTAGGAAGTGGAAGCTGAGGCAACAGAAGTCTTATCTCAATAGAAGTCTCATCTCCAAGGCCACAACTCCTTAAACCAACCTACTTCCCCACTGATTTATAGAATCATGTAATGGTTTGGGTTGGAAGGGCCTTAAAGTTCACCTCATCCCACCCCCTGCCATGGGCAGGGACATCTTCCACCAGACCAGGTTGCTCCAAGCCCTGTCCAACCAGGCCTGGAACACTTCATGGGATGGGGCAGCTACAGCTTCTCGGGGCAACATGTGCCAGTGCATCATCACCCTCACAGGGAAGAATTTCTTCCCCATATCTAGCCTAAACCTACTCTCTGTCAGTTTAAAGCCAGTCCTCCTTGTCCTGTCACAACTTCTACAAGGGCTGTTTGTCTGGTTACTAAAGCCAGCCACTCCTGGCTTGGAACAATGTCAAGAAGCCCAGAAGGATTACACTGTAGATAAGAACAGGAATTGGAGACCACCACTATCCTTTGAGACAGAGAGGAAGCTTTTACAGGAGGCCAAATGCAATTCTACTCCAGCTGAAATCTGGCCAAGATGCAAGGGGAGCACAAGAAGTGCCACGAATCATGAGTGAGAAGCTGTCTGGGCTCTGACTTCAGCTCTGCCAGGCCCAGAGTGCCCTCTAACACGTGCTGCAGCCACACAGAGCTGCACATCACAGACCAGGGCTGTGGCATGGGCATGTGTGTCCCTACAGTCAAACCTCAGCTCACAGAGGGGAGGGGCAAAATACAAATGTAGACAGGGAGAGCCAAAAACTTACCAGTACAGCAGGTAAGGATGAGAATAAACACAACTAACAGGGGCAATACAGTACATAGTGATTGTGATTCAACCTTCAGATCACTGCAAGGATGTTTTGGGATTTTTTTTAACTTTAGAAGGCAAGTAAATTAGTTATTGCAAGAAGGGAAGACCAAGAAACAAAGGTATTGAAAAAGCAGGCACTGAGGTGTTGCATCTCAAGCTGCACAAGCATAAGCTCTGAAGTCCCATTTTTCAGGCCGAGTACACGCTGACAGCAAAGCAACAAGGGACTTTGCTGTCCAGCATTCACAGGACAACTAGCAGCTCTCAGAGCCCAGGAGGAACAAGCATCAGTGGCATTTGGATAATCTCAGAAAAAGAGCCTGTCCAAGCAGAGGCTCAAGCATGGACTCAAGCATGGACTGACTGAGGTGACACTCAGTAGGAAGTGGGAAAGTGATCCAAGAGCTTGCTTTTCATTCAGAATCTCTAAACAAAGGGAGTTTACAGCCAGATGTTGTTCCCCTCTCTCCCATGACTCACTGCTCCATGCTGCATTCAGCTGCACAATGCCCTGCTGAGCAGATGGTGAGTTCACACTTCCAGGCTGGGATCACTGGGATAACATCTCCTGTGGATATTCAGCGTGAGGCTGAACTAAGCACTTCGTAATTGCTTCCTGAGCTGGTCTGATGATGGCACAAGACCTGCACGAAATGGTTCAGACACCCATCCCAGCAAAAACAGTGAGCTCCCCTAGCCCCATAGTGCTCAGGACATGTTCTGCCATCAGGAGACAGATTCAGCTAGCAATTATGGCTGAATGGGCACAGACAAGTGTGATCATTTCTGAGGATCAGAGAGTCATGTCTGTGTTGGTACATTCATTTCCTCGTGCTTGTTTCCCTCCTCATCCTGGCTGGATTTCTCTTTCACATGGACTGTCCAACCCTGGCAGTGTTCCAAGCCAGGCTGAATAAAGCCTTGAGCAACATGGTCTGGTGGGAGGTGTCCCTGCCCAGGGCAGGGGGTTGTGACTAGATGACCTCTAAGGTTCATTTCAATCCCTTAACGTACAATGATACTACAGAGAGTCCCTGCCCCAAACTGCTTACACAGACAGCAGCTACTGCAACAGGACCCAACCTGCTCTGGCTCTCTAAGCCAGCACTCTGAACCAAGAGAATTTGGTGAGCAAAGATTTTAAAGAGAATAAAAAAGAAGAAAATAATATTGATACAATTCAAATGCACAGCAGATCTCAAACTAAACCTGGAGAGCCCTGGCACCCTGAGACTGGGGTAAAGCACCAGGCACCTTGCTGGTGGAAGAACTACCACTGAGGAAGTCACACTTTCAGTGCTGAAAGTATATTTATGGAGTGCTGAATGGTAAATCATGGAGAGCAAGGTACTATATTTATCCTTGGATTTAGTTAGATGTGGCCAACTTTGGGTGTAGGGTGTACGTAGCTGATCACAGCTAGTCACCTTCAGGTTTGAAACCACTCAACACAGAAATATTGTCCCTGGAGTCCTGCAGAGTGTTCTTGGTGTAAGAACTGTCTGAAATGCAGACACAGCCTGAGGGAAGCCAAAGACACCAGAAAGAACAGCAGTAAAGGGATAATCCCAAGAGGTCACATAACTACAGCAGAAGAGAAGACAACTTCCCAAGCAGTGATGGTACCACTGGAGAGAAGGCACAGCAGCCCTGGCAACAGCCAAGGGCAGTGCCAAGAGAGCAGGGCCCACAAACGGTTAATCATCAGGGGTGATTTACAACTTCCAAAGCTCTCCAAGCGATCTGCAGAGGGAGCTCCGAGCAGGTTATTCCAGCCACTGGATGCTCCGTGCTGAACTCGGTGCTCTCTGGCCTTGTCCAGCTGCTGCAGCAGCTCCACACTGTGCAAGGCTCTGGGGAGATAACCCAGCACAGCTGTGCTCAAGGCACCTGCTGACAAGGTGCCTGGCTACACTCTGAGCAAGGCAGCAGGATGATGAAAGAGAGGATGTGTCTATGAAGTCTTAGCTGTGGACATGTCAAAAGTCATTGCCTCAGCCAGACAGAAGCAAAATTACTTCCTTGCCCAGTCCAGGCAGGATCAGCACTATGGCACTGCTCCAAGAAGCTGTTCCCCTGAACTTGGGGGCAAAAGTTATTTTCTCCTGAGAGCTTGATGCAGCTTTGCAACCAAAACCTTAACTGGGAGCTCTCATGGTCATGTGGTTCAATCTCCAGCCAGACTTTTGGTTATCTTCTGTGTAAATACAGACCAACATAAAGATCACTTTTGGCTGGTTGGAGAAAGGGTTTCAAGTCTAGTGGAAGGGGACCCTGCCCATGGAAGGGGGTGGAATATGATGGGTATTAAGGTCCCTTCCAACCAGAACCATTCCATGATTCTGTGATGTGATTAGAAAGAATCTGAAACAAGGGAACTTGTGGAGACAGAGTGTGGCACAGCAGAATACACTAAACTAGGCAGAAAGCAAAGTAAAATCTGGTGGGATTTCACAGAGGTCTCTGCTCATGGCAAGGGGGTTGGACTAAATGACCTACCTTTAAAGGTCCCTTCCAACCCAAACTACTCCATGACTCTAAATGCCCTTCCGCAGGAAGCTTACAGCAGCAGGAACAACAAAAGTAGTCCAAGGCACTGAATGTTATCAGATTCTGAAGTAGATGAGTATTGAAGCTTCTCTTGGCTCTAAACCAAATCATTATTTATTCTCAGCTCCAAGTCACAATCCCAAGCTCAGAGATAGTTCTATTCAAGGTTTGTTGTTCAGTACAAGTTAACATTAAGTCTAAGGAATAAGAGCCTGACATTACAAATGAGCTTGGCAGAGCAATCTCCAGCAGCAGACAGAGGAAAGCCAATTAGGAAAAACACTAACTGAAACCAACTCCCTCATAATATTTCATTTCACTTTCCCAGACAAGCAGGTGGGCAACCTTTCTGATGAGCCTTTAGCCCCTGCAACACACTCCTGCAGCAGGTCTGTACGACAAATAAGTGTGCAGGTTCCCAGGAATTTATTCCCCTTGACAGGCAGAGTTAATGACTGGGAGCACCACACTCACCGCTTGCCCTTCTGTATCCGAGACATATCCACTGAATCCCGGCTGAAAACATCAAACTCATCGTTCTGGAACACATTATAGCGAGAAGAGACTAGAGGAGTTGGGTCTGGCTTCAGCTGTCTGGTAAAAACAAAACAAGAGAGAATAAAAGCAAAGGTGAAGTGAGGAAGACCAAATCCTCTCCTCCCTAAGCCCTTGGTTGATCCTTTGTCAGCCCCAAAGTCACCCAGAGCACCCCAAGGTCCTCCCTGTAGTGCTGTCTGAGTCACACAGTGCAAACCCTTCTCACAGCCACACTACAGCATATGCACGACCACAACATAGCACTGCTAGAGCTACAAGGCAGTTTCCAAAGCTCATCTTTGTGGGGAAACTAAAACAACTCACAGAAAGCAACAGGAAAATTCTTCTGTTCATTTCAGACTTAAGCCAAACCCTACAACAGCAGAGAATATCAACAGACTGCCTAGTCTCACCACAGTGACTCAGTGCAGTCAAACACTAAGTATGACGAATTACACACTGGCAAACAATCCAATAATTTGCTGCTGTTGATTTCAGGATATTTATCTCCCTGTGGTTCCTTCTTAATTCTCTCTCAGGTTCCAGGTTTATCTTTGTTCAACTTATAAGTCCAAAGACTGTTCTTCTGTCATCCATTTTGGGGGTGCAGTTGCCTGGGTCGTGCAAATGCTGCTGTGCTCACCTACAGATCAGCAGTGATCTAACTCTCCATCCCTACTGAACTGACAGCTTTGTTTCAGGATGCATAAGGCAGTGGGAAAAAAAAGCAGCTCTATCTTGTGTAACTGCTGGCTTTGCAGAAAACCACCCTTCCTAAACCCAACCCACACCACTTGTGCCGAAGTCAGCGGGTCTGACAGCAGAAGCATGAAGAGTGGTGCAAAACTAAGATTTTTTTACCTCATTTTTCTGATAAAGAGGCTTTCCTTTAATGCAACAGTGAGACAGTCTGCCCATTCCTCCATGAAATGTGAGCAAACAGCACATTCACAGCCTGACACTCCATCAGGAACTGCTGGTGCAGCACAAACACAGGCTCACAGCTGCAAACTCCAACAACTCAATCCTGCTGCCAGCTATAAACCCTGTGTCCCTTGGACAGCCCAGGGAAGCAAGCTCAAACCTGGCAAGTTTGTCAAAGGGCAGGTAAAAATGGATCTGAAGTCCCATTTCCAACCTCTCTCTGGTCTAACTTCCCTCACAGCCTGTTAAATACCCATATTTGGCCCTACAGGTTAATTCCAGCTGAATTACCTCCTGTGAAGATGCCCTTCCTGCAGGACACCTGGGATTTTCATACCTATGACCCTGTCCCTCTGCAGCAAAGTAACTCTTGAAGGCAACACATTCTATTGCCCAGCCCAGTGTCCCAAGGATGGAATTTCAATTGCGCTTATTTGAGCATTTAATGTACCAGTAGTTTTGTCCCCTGTCACAAACACAATCCAGACCTGCTCTGCTCAAACAGAACAGTCAATGTTCCAGTCCTCTGCAGGGACACAGTAGGGCAGAGAGCTTGTGACAGGTGACAATGAGAAGCTCTTACTGCAGTTACCTACCCCAAGAATGCACATGCAAACTCACAGAGCTCTACAAGCATTGAGCCTTCAGTAAGAACAATGTCCAATGACAAACAAACCCAGAAGCTGTCCCAGACCTTTGCATCTTTCTGTCCATCTTATCCAAGCATGGCATCAGCTTATCTTCCAGAATGTTGTTGATCACTTGCTCAGTGTTGTATCCATACTCCTCCAGGCAGGCCAGGATGAATCCCTCACCAAGGTCTGGCAGTAGGTCCTTCACTTGGGAGATGAGAGAGTCCAGCTCCACACCAGACACCTCAGGGATGGGTGCAGCTGTGGCACCAGCACACTGTGGACACCAAACAGAGCTGGGGGTGTCACTGGGGAGGGACAGCAGCTGGGGCAGGCAGAGGGCACGGAAATAAAGGGAAAGCAGCAGTCTGGGCTATCAGAATTTAAACACACTAAAGTACAAGACCAAAGTCAAAAGAAATCAGCAGTTTAAACAAGACAAAGTTTGTGACACAGATTTGGGCACATAATTACTTCTGTCAGTGCCTGAGTCAGCAAGGACTGACTGGAGAATTCCTTCCTCAAATAACACACGAGCTGTGCGTTTGAAAAATATGCACATGAGCTGCAGGGATGAAGCAGAGTATTTGAATAAAGCCCAGCAAGGGAAAACCCAAGCCATGGGATTTAGAAGCAATTTGCTCAGAGATAAACCAGGATTCAGGTGTAGCTTTAGTTCTCATTTCCCAAGGCACATGGAGCTGCACTGGGATCCAGCAAAGGTCAGAAATGAGACTAAATCTCACATTATACCCAAAACTGAGCTAAGCGAGCCTGTCCTCAGAGCTGTATGGACAGAAGGAGTAGATTCCAGCGATACCCACAGCTCTACGCACCTCATCCTCTGATGCATAGGCAGCCCCCAGCTCCTCCCTGCCCTCTGCAGTGCTCTCCACTGTTGCTGATGCTCCATTGGATGCTGCTCCATCTTTAACAACTTGGGTTTTTTTCCTGCCTGCCCCTTCCCAGGCACTTTCCACTGCTTGGAGGACATAGGCTGTCCTGGTCTCATCTCTAAGGGCACAGCATTAAGGACATTTGTGGATACACATGTTCAGAGCTCACCTTGAAGTAACTGTGTGATTGCTGACAACTCCCAGGCCTGTGTCTACATCAGAACTCACAGAGCCATGGAATGGTTTGGGCTGGAAGGGACCTTAAAGCCCATCTGGTTCCAGTCCCCTGCCAGGGGCAGGGACACCTCTCACTAGACCAGGTTGCTCCAAGCCTCATCCAACCTGGCCCTGCACACTCCCAGGGAGGAATAAGCTCTCTGGGCAACAAGTCCCCCAACTTTTTTTTTTTTTTTTTTAAAAAGGGAAAACTTTCCAGCACTCCTTGCTAGTCATGCAGCTTAAGCAGAGACAGCAAGTAGCAATGCCACTGGTGTGAAGGAATCTGAGAGCAGCCAGGTGTGTGCAATCCCCAAGGTGACCCCAAGGATACAGGGTGGAAGATGCCTGCTGAAGCAGACTGACATCATCCTCAACGGGAAACAGCTCGTCGTAGTCACGGAGAAACCTGAAAAGGCAGAAGCAAGTTTAATCAGTTGAACACAATTAATTACCACTGCCATCCCCGCTGTGCCACTCTGGCTGCCTCAGTGCTGGATGGGAACACACAGAACCTCTCACCCAATACTGGATTCCAGCCATGCCTGATTTTGCTCCATTACACCGCAGCAACACTCCTCTCACACCCTCAGAGCATCAGCATGAGGGTCTGCACCAGTGCTGCAGTACAGGGAACTGTGGTCTGTGATGAGAACGTGACCAGAATGCCAGCAGGGTCAGGAGGACAACATGGAATTCCCAGTTCTGCCACTTACTCACTCTGCATCTCCAGCATTAGCGCTGAGTATCTTTCTGGACTGGTCACCCCAGCTGGAAAGCACAAATCAGTAATAACAGCCTAACTTGTCATGGGAGCTAATGGCTAAATTGCTATCCTCCTCTCTGAGAGCCTGGATTAAAGAGAGTGAAGAATAGCATTCCTCAGTGTCATACAACACCCTCCTCACCTTTACAATGAGGTCTGTGCCACAGGCTGAAATCCTCTCACTGCAGTTCTCCCACCTACTCAGAATGATTTCTAACTCCCAAGTGCACTGTAATGCTGTCGCAGGCAATTCTAGTGTAAGGAATGGAAGAGGAAGGAGAGCCAATCCTCCCCTCAAGCCTCCTCTCAGCCACACTCACCTCCTCTCCTGAAGCACTGAGGTGAAGATCTGCAGAAACTCCTCAATAAATGGCTGAATATTCTCACAACTGCAGAAAAAGCAGTCAACACTCACTGCCCATTGCACACTCAACATGTTCTGCCTCATCAGTCAAACTAGTCACACTCACACACCAAGAGAAAACTACATTTGAAAATCGATTTCAAACCATTTTTGGCTTTCATGGGAGCAAAGAGTCAAACAGAAACAAATTTCCTTTATGGCCTCAGCGAACATTTCAGCTGGATCTAAAGCTGTAGCACAGTTAGAATTACAAACCTTCAGACACACTTTTTTTACTTGATGCCTCAGACTTGCAATAAGCAGAGAAGGTGTGTAGTACCTTTCTAATTGTGCCTTTATTATATATCTTGGGATTACACCAGTGAACCTCCCAGAAAGTACGTGCTCACCTGTGCAAGAACATCTGCCAGGCAAACTCCCATTGCACCTCTGGTTGTAGTGCCCAAACCTCCCTGTGCTGCTGACACACTGAGCCTCACTGCAGGGCAGAATGCTCTTGGGGTGGGCAGGGACCTTAAACCTCATCCAATTCCACCCCCTGCCACCAGCAGGGACACCTTCCACTAGCCCAGGTTGCTCCAAGCCCCATCCAACCTGGTCGAGAACACTCCCAGGGATGGAGCAGCCACAGCTGCTCTGGGCAACCTGTGCCAGTGCTTCAGCACCCTCACAGGGAAGGATTTCTTCTAATATCAAATCTAATCCTACTGTCTTTCAGCTTAAAGAGCCATTCCCCCTTTACTACCTCTGAAATATCCATAGTCCTTCACATTGTGGGATCTGAACATGTTACTCTGGTTTGTTTATATTTTCACTATTCCAGTGGGTACTGAAGGCCAATACCAGGCAAGGAAGGGTAAGACAAAGCTGCTGGTGCTCCTTGAAGGATTGGATTTACAGCACAGACAGACTGGGGGATAAAGTCCAGGTCACAAAGGAAGTCAAATCCAGGAGTCTCACAAGGAAACATGGTGTGATTCTTGGGGCTGTCCTGTGCAGGGCCAGGAGTTGGACCTGATGATCCTTGTGTGTCCCTTCCAGCTCAGGAGATTCTATGATTCTATGACTTCTGCTCAACTTGGACATCTCTACTGCTATCAAAGCAGGGGAAATACTCAAGCAGAACAAGGGCCCCAGACCAGCAACCTACAGAACCTGTAGGGAGCACAGGTGATGAGAGCACAACCCAAGGGAGCACTGGCTTGGCAAATCCAGATCCAGGATCTCAGCTCTCTTCCCAGTATGCAGCAGAACTTTGGGTCATTTCACTTCCTTTCTCTATTGTGAAATATGGATAGCTGTACTTGCCTTCATTTTGAGATTACTCAGAGCTATCAGTTAATTTTCCCAGCAGAAGTGGGGAAGAACTAGGTAGAGGCACCAGTACCTGGTTTGAAATGGCTGTTTTCAGTGACCTCTGACACTGCATCACTCTTACTGTGGTGTCTCAGCCAAGGTGTTTACACACACAGTTAGTTTGCAACTGAGCCATAACTGAGCTTAGAAAGCTCCTTGAACCACAGCACTACCCAGCTCTGGTGGGGTCAGCACACAGCTCACCACACCAGTTCTGGACCACACAGCTTCATCTGGGAGAGTCCTGACAACAAAATTGACCTTGGCCAAGTCTTTGGCTACAACCCCAACACGAACAGCAGTATCTGTTAACTCTCTTCAGGAAATTTGTCAACAGGGAGACAATCTCCCCCCACAGCAATCAAGTAACAGTCCAATAACAGAGCCAAGTGCCAGTACCTGCTCTCTAAGATGGGCTGCAGACAGACTTGGTTTATTACAATGTGAAAAGCTTCTATCATCTTCTTTCTGGAATGTGAAATCCTCCTCCATAAATCAGCAAAAACACTTCAGAGAGAGGAAAAGATGCTGTTGGTGTCAGCACAAGAATCTGTAACACACCCTTATGCCAGAGGTTCCTCTAGAAGAGGAATCTCATTAGCAGAATCATTTCTATGCTGCAAGGACCAGAGATTAGAGCCATTTCAGCCATTAAGGCAAATCCATGCTCTGAACAGTTGGTTTCAATCCCAATTGTCCTGACAGCTACACAGGATATTTCACACAGTACCAGCACAGCCTGTGCCTTACAGTGAGAGCAGTCTGTACACAGAGATATCATGCATGTTCTCACACTTTGTTACAATTTCAATGCACCTCCCATCAAATTCCTTCTTACACAGCAGAAGAAGAAATGATTAGCCATCCCAGTGCCCAGGAAAAATTGGAATTACACAAGTCATCTCTTCAGAGCTCTTTGAAGCAGCATAAAAAAAGACAGCAGAGAAGGGTAAAGCAGCATGAAGTGAATTTCTAACTAAGCCCTGGGAGAGTCTCACAGAAAAGACAAGGTGAATCTTTGCAGGCATTCTCACCTGTTATCCTCATAATGCCTCTTCTTGACTGCAGATTCCAGCTCAGGAATTGCCAGTTCATAAAATGAAGCTAATCTGTAGAAAGGAGCAACAAAACAGGAACAGTCAGCTGAGGCTTCAAAAATCATTTGCTCAAGGACAAATCAATTGGTTGATTTCATTAAACCCTCCTCACCAGCAGAACTCATTAGCATCACCCTATTTCCCCCCTCAAAATACAAGCAAACAGAGCACAGACTAGAGCAGCACTCCAAGGAAACCATCGAGGTGTCTTTGAAGACACAACAAAGAAATGCATGTGAAAAGCACCTGATGCTGATCAGAAACATCTGCCCAGCCCAGAAACATCCCAAACACATCTGCAGTCTGCAAAGAGCCCACAGACTCACAGAGTCACAGAATCATTCAGGTTGGCAAAGACTTTTGAGATTGCCAAGTCCAACTGGCAACCCAACACCATGGTCACCACTAACCATGTCCTCAAGGGCCATATCCACATGTTTTTGAATACTTCCAGACATAGTGACTTCACCACTACCCTGGGCAGCTGTGCCAGGGCTGGACAGCCCTTCCAGTGAAGAAGTGGAGGTTCCAACATGAACCTCCACTGGCACAACTTGAGGCTGTTTCCTCTCTCCTGTCCCTTGTTCCTTGGGAGCAGAGCCTGACCCCACCTGGCTGCACCTCCTGGCACAGAGTTGGAGAGAGCAGAAGGTTCCCTGAGCCTCCTTTTCTCCAGGCTCAGCCCCTCCTTGTGCTCCATCCCCTTCCCCAGCTCCATTCCCTTCCCTGGACACCTCCAGCCCCACAATGTCTTTCTTGTGACAGGCACAGAACTGTACACAGGTTCATTCCACCCCAAAACTTGCCCTCCCACTCCAATATACTCGTGGCCCTCTTGCTGTATGCCAATAACTGGACAAGAAATGGGATACGATTTCCAAGAAAGCCATACTGGTCCTGCTACTCAGCACTGCTCTAAGGATGGAGCTGGCAAGACTCTAGATGAAGGTATCTAGCATGCTGAAAGCCCAAGAAAATGTTTCAATAGGATGGGGCAGGGACAAAACAAGTAAGTTTGGTCCAGTTCCACATTTTATGTGCCAGGCAGCACACACAGACCCTTTCCCTCAGGAACAGGGCACTGAGAGGACCAGAGAAATGCTTCACTGCTTCACCAGGAGGGAGATGTTAATGGTTCACAGCACTTTGCAGGAAGGCCAGGCTGGACTCCATCAGGGACATTCTGTCCATGTCTCATATTAAGAACCAAACATGTTAAATCAATATCCTTGAGGCAAATGTAGGAGAAGTTGGTTGATACTTTTATTTGGGGACAGAAATTAGCAATGCCAGCAGATTGACTGAGCTCAGAGGTTCCAAACAGATTATATCAATCAGTTGTCCCTCCCCACACTCCAAAGACCCAGTCAGTTGTCCATATTGAGGAAGAAACAATTGCTGTAGCCTCAGCACACAGAGATCTAGACACTTTTAGCACATCTCTGACATCAACAGAAGAATTAAAAGCAAAAGGTTTTCCCCCTTTGAGCACCCAAGCATGTAAGCAGTGCTGCCTGCCAACCCAAACAGCCACCAATCCTCTCTCCTTCCAAAACCAACTCAGTGGCAACATCCAAGACCAGCACACCCCAGAGCAGCATCACTCAGCCTGTGGTCCCTGCACCACTGCCAGCTTAAGTCTTCAGAGCTCTGCAACTTCATTGGAAACAGAAGTGAAATACAAACCTGTATTTAAGCATGTAAGCAGTGCTGCCTGCCAACCCAAACAGCCACCAATCCTCTCTCCTTCCAAAACCAACTCAGTGGCAACATCCAAGACCAGCACACCCCAGAGCAGCATCACTCAGCCTGTGGTCCCTGCACCACTGCCAGCTTAAGTCTTCAGAGCTCTGCAACTTCATTGGAAACAGAAGTGAAATACAAACCTGTATTTGACTAACAAGCTTTTAAGAAGACAATGAGTTCACACTTCACTCAGCTCCAAAGAAGGGAAGTTACAGCAAGGCTCTACAGGATGATCTGGGGGCTTAAACCCCCCAGAGCTGGGTAAGTGCCACTGAAGGACTTGCAGCCTATGTGGGAACAGACTCTGTCATCTGGACCTTGAGTCCATCCTGACTCATCACTACTGTGCTCCAAGAGCTGCACAGGGAGTTAGCTGTCAGCCTAGTTGTCAGCTTTTGCCAAACCTCAATAACACTCTCTAGCATGAAAATTAGGCATAATATCAAACAAAAACATTTGTTTTCGGACCTGGAAGGACTATCACTCTGAAATACTTTCCATTTCCCTGGCTTCAGAGCCTACAGCAGGAAGCTCTTTTTGTCCATAACTTGTCCCTCTCCATCCCTTCCAGAGCACACCAAGTGCTGTTTAGTTGGGCATGAAAACTGTCATAGATGCCTGGCTCTAGGATCACTCAGAGAAAATGATGAAGGTGAACATATAACAGAAAATTCAGAAATCTCTACATCCATGTATTTACTAAACTGCATTCCTGTCAGGGTGAACCAGCAGTCTCTGCATCAAATATCTCTATTAAATCCTGGGACAAGACACAGCAGCACATCAGGATTTTCACTTCCCCAAGACAAGCTCTGGTTGCAGCACAAGACATACCTGTAACAAAACTCGTGTTTTTGGAAGGTCTGGCAAGCCAAGGGGAAGACATCAAGAAAGGCCCAGAGCGTTGTACAGGTGTCACATAAGTACAGCACAATGTCCTTCAGCTCCTGAGAGGGAAAGGAGCAATTAGCAAGAGAAAAAACAGGTGAGTTTTCTCAAGAACACAGTCTAACTCCCTGCCAGGGACACAGCATAGCCAGGCCAGGCCTCTTCCTGGCTATCTACTATAAATGTGTTACAGGGTCTGGGGGCAGAGATAATGTCTCTCCTAAAATTTCTGTACTGTAAATGTCTATAATGCAATCCCAACTGCTTGCTTGCATTAAAGATCCTGTGGAATTATAAGAATCCTCATCAGATCCTGTCCTGGACAGTGGTTTTGTCTCTAGTATACCCTGCACATAGAGAATACTTCCCCAGGTAGCTGGAAGCAGTGCACAGCAGTAACATGGGAATCAGAGGGATGATCTCAGCCTGTTCCAGTGCAAGATGCATTTCCAAGGCAGCTGTAACAACTCCCCCACACAAACTGAATGACTAAGATTTTGTAGAGAGCCCTCCTCACTGACATGGGGCCTGTCTTTGTGCAGCACATAAAACCCCTCTTCATCAACTAAAGTACACTGTTGTTAACATACATTCCTGAAGAAAAACAGCTCTGATCACTGCCAGGGTTACATGGAGACTTCTGTCAGATATTCTGATATATTATTTATAAGCTGATTAAGCAAAAATATTGCCAGGTTTAAGAACCATCCACATTACAATGGATGTGGCTGAAATGCAGCAGCTCAGGGAGGAAAGGCTTGATCATCATGTCCTCTGACAAACAGTGAAACAATGACATGGAACCATGTGCTGTGTGAACCACCAGTCTCTGGGAACAGAATGACCCTTTGTGGTCTTACTGTTCCACAGACTGTTCTGACTGCAGGACTACAAAGAGTACAGTCCAAGGAGGAACAGTCCTACCTGGAGGGGCATGTTCCCTGGAGTCACACTGACTTTTTCTTCCAGTTTCTGGGGGTCAGCAGAGGCTCCTTCACACTGCAAACCACACTTGTGCAAAATGTTGTTGAACACCTAAACCAAGAGAGCAGTGCAGAGTTAGCACAGGCAGAAGTGAGCAGTGGCACAAGCTTCATCTGGCAAACAATCACTGCTATGATGACATATGCAGTTTGGGACTAGTTCTGTAACAATGCCTCCAGCTCATGAGCTGTCTCAAAGACCTCCTGGGGTTGGCAGGACAGATTGTGTGGCTCTTGTTTGTAAACAGAGAAATTTGGGGAGAAAATGACAGGATTTCTGGATTCCTAACAACTTTGGTGCAGGATCAACCTAAAAGTAACTCCTCTGCACCTGGACCCTGAGAGCTCTGTCAAACCCCCCTACCAGAGATATGTGCCTAAAGGTACTGAAGTCAGAGCTGGGGTTAGGATTACTATTCCACAGGGCATAGAAGCTCCTGAACAGAGATCAGCTCCCTTCAGTGTCAGTGTAAACACATCCAGTTTCATGGATCAGTGATGGCACATCTTTGAGCTGTTACACCCACACAGCTGAGACACAATGGCATCACCCTGCAATGCTTACCAGAACCAGTCCTCTGCACACCAACTGCCCTGATATGGCACAACACTAAAAGCAAGTGGAATCTCTGTTGTCCTCCCCAGCAATTCATTTGAAGGTTTGGTCTTGCATCCTAGGATATTTTTAAAATGTGCTATCACCTCTCAGATTTACCTCTGACAGTTTCCCAACACACACAAGAAAGATGTATATGGGCTTACAAAAAAAATCAAGTGACATTACAGGTGGCTTGGGGTAAATGATACCTTGGCTGACTTAGTTTTGTGCACAGAGCAGCATTTTGAGGACATAAACAATTTCAGGGTACAAAGATGTCAAGGCACCTTGATTTCCCCCTGAGGCTAAATGTGAATCTTGCTTACTCTGCAGTGTTAACCCTAACCCATTCTGCTATGCGAAGCCACCTCTCATGGTTAGTATTTTGCTGGTTTAAGTTTAATTCTTTCCCTGTTTGGGAAGACAGAGATACAATGAGTAACTTTTTGAGGTGTCTAATGAAAATTCCTTGAGATCCACTGCAGAGAAGGTCAGAAGCTGAAGGTGACAGGAAAGAGTCATCAAGTAATAGTTTTAGATAAAGGTTTAAAACCTCCCTGACACACGTTAGCATGAACTAGGGAAAGGAAGCAATGACAAATTCAGGCTGGAGATTAGGCAAAGGTTGTTCCCCCAGAGGGTGTTTGGGCACTGGAACAGTTCCCCAGGGCACTGGTCACAGCCCCAAGCCTGACAGAGCTCAATGAGTGTTTGGCTAAAGCTCCCAGACACAGGGTGGATTGTTGGGGTGTCCTGTGCAGGGCAGGAGGTGGACTGATGATCCTAGTGGATCCCTTCCAGCTCAGGAGATTCCATGATTCTATGGAATACATTCTGCCTGCCTATAACTGTCCCCTTTCCCTTCTCCAACCTATGTCATGTTTCCAGAAGAAATCCAAGCAGGAAAGCAGTACCTGGAGGACAGTGGGAAGAGTTTCATCCAGGTCACCAAAGTAACTTGGCTGCTGAGTGAAGACATTTTCTGTAAAGGGGAAGGAGACAATTTCCATTAGTTCAGACATTGATGCCAATGAACAAAATTGTGCCAGGAAACTTGTAATACTGTACCTGTAATCACACTTGTACTATTACTGACACCCCCCAGACACAGCTAAGGCCCATGTAGGCCATGGGCCCAGGCTCACTCCTCAGCTCACACACAGGTCCATCAGCTATCCAGTGCAACTGGAGACCTGGCAATGGGAATATGCTCACCAGAGCAGAGCAAACGAGATGTCAGATGATTCATGCTCCAGAGGCTGAATCAATGAATAATGCAAATACTATCACTGAACATCCCCAGTTCCTTTTATTTGACAACTGGAGTTGACTGTTAATTACTGATAACAGTTCAGCACACACTGGAAAATGGGCTGCAGAATATTTCTTAAAGGTAATGAGGCTTTAGTAACACCTGCTATGATATTACCAGGACTCCATCTCTACAAAATATTCCAGTGACTAATGGCACACCATAAATCCTCACCAAGGAACCACTGAGGCTCCTGCTTCCCTGGGAATTACTGCTCAGACAATGAAAATTAAGAGCTCTCCAGCAAGGGCAGAGCTTAGGTAAGAGTTATGAGAAAAGTTTCAGAAAAAAATTTATACCCTGAGAAGAAGCTAAAGTTATGAAGTTATGAATTCCACACGAGAGCTGTTCCTGCCATTACTGTCACGACATAATGAAGTAATCAGGTGAGCAAATCCTTGGTCACCTGAATGCAGCATTAGTGTGTGGCACTCCAGAGCATAATTCAGAGGAGATTTCATACACTCAGGTCTTCTTTGGAAGATTTTAAGACCCAGATAATCTAAGCTTCACATCTGAAAGAGCAATATCTATCTTGTCTTGCCTTCTTCTCAACTCTGAGGCTCCACAGAGGAATTTAGAGTAGAAGTTACGGAAAAGGGATGAAGGGATTAAAAATGCAAAGGTTTATCTAAGCTCTTCTGGCTGGAAATCTGACTGCATCACAAGATCTCTAAGGCTTCTCATGTTAGTCACCTTGGAAATGAGACAAAAATAACCACCAGAGAAAGTGAAAAGTTTCAGCCCATGAACTGCAGACAAAGTGGGTGAGAATTTAGGAAGAGCTCACTGAATCCAAGGCTAGATACTCTTCCAGCTGTGCTCAGTTCATGTTAAAGATCACAAGTAGCTCCTTGTGAAGGGAGCACTGGATAAATACAGAAGCTAAATCAATATGCTCCACCTCCATTGCCCAGGTTCCATCCACAGCTGAGATGTTCCTGAATATGTACCTGCCCTTAAGACTGTGTGTACAGACACAGAAATCCAGGGATAAGCACAGTACAAGGAATGCTTCAAGGTGTGTGTGGCTGGAGGCACTGTATACATCACTGTCAGCATTGAAATGTCAAGTTCTCCCACCCCACTGAGCAGTGGTTACCTCACGCTGAACCCTCCTCCCTCCTTGCCCAGGAATTGAGTTGTTTCCCCCTTCCCATCTCCACTAGGATTGTCCAGAGCCCTCACGTTCCTCTTACTATGGCTGAGGACACATTTCACTGGCATGGGGAAGGCCTGCTGAGCCCTGGTTCATGCCTAATGGCATGAAAAAGCCCAGCTCAGGGCAGCAAGACAGCACAACACAATGCTTTCCTGGGCCTAAATGAAGCACACAAGAAAAAAGCATAGTCTGTTCTAGAAATTGATCTAGAAATGATAGATTCTTGTTGCTGCTGAATAATTCACTTTCAGAGCAGTTAGACTGGTATAAAACCCCACTCATGACTTGTCACACAAGTAAGCAAAAGACTAAATGCAGCAAGTTGCTCCTTGGCTTTAACTAACCAATCATCTTCTGGAGCAGGAGACCATTTCCTTTCCCAAAAAGCACACAGAGATCCAGAATCTTGGGGATGTCAAACAGGAAGTTATTGTAAATAATTTCTCCAAAGACAGAGGGAGTGATAAAGTGGTCCTAGAAAGAAAAATAAAGTAATTTAAAGGATAATCCACATCTTGCTCTGCAGTGACTTCAGCATTATAATGATACCTGTAAAACCTCTCCCAAAGGTGTATTAAGGATTTTGCTTCACAGAAGGCAACTCTGCTGAAACACCCTCTGTGGAGGCAGCTATTCCCACATTCCCAGCTGCCTGTCACTGCTATGACACCACCCATCAAATGATTCATTCATCATGAAGTGAATTGATTTACCTAAAGTTAAACCAAAAAGCTCCCAAAAATGTGCCTCAGTTCCCAGCCTGGCCAGACACACAGCTGAGCTGACACCAGCACAGCTCAGCTCAGGAGCAGGAATCAGTTCCAGGCCCAGGAACAGCTTCACTGGCACAGACAGACAAAATGCATCCGAGATCACAGCCTGAGGTCACTGCACCCTGGGAGAGGAGTATCCAGGCAACAAAGATCACAAAATCAGTGACAAGCAGGAGGAAAACCCAGAACTGCAGCTCGGTACTCTGACTGCTAAACACTGTGCCAAAAACACGTGACTCATAACATGGAAGGAATTCCTTCTAAAATTTTAGATGAAAAAATTCCATTGTCTGACACAGAAACAAGCAGCTAAAACGTGATTTGGGATTTTCAGAAGCCAAATTTGCCTGTGATAGCAAATGTTTTCAGAACCAGTGAAAGGCAGCAGGCACATTCTCCATGCTGAAGCAGGGCCAGGGCTTGATGCTGGCCAGGTTCAGTTTCTAGAACTCCTGCTGACTCCGGCATGACAACAGACTATTCATTCCCTTCAGATTACTCAACTATAAAATGGTTTCAAATGCTCCTCTGCCTGTTGGAGTGGTGAGACTTAATCAGATCCTGGACTGAAAGACACCACAGAGGTGTCGAGTACTTGTGCTGAAGTGGTGCCAGCATTCCTTCCAACTACCTGCTCCTGTCCCAAACTCCAGCTACCAGTCCCAGACCTTTCCTCAAAACATCCTGAATGTCACCACTATGATAATCAAGAGAATCAATACATCCCTAAACATCCTCCTTGGTTCGTGATGTGTTATCAACTGAGTAACTGCTAAAACACAAGGTGCTTCACTCATCCTGCCCAAAAGCCTGATGAAAATTCCACAGCTCCTGATGGCAGCTGCACTCACACAATTAGTGATGACTCCTTCCACTACAGTTTGGGTTGGAAGGGACCTTAAAGCTCACCCAGTCCCACCCCCTGCCATGGGCAGGGACACCTTCCACTAGCCCAGGTGGCTCCAAGCCCCATCCAACTTGGACTGGAACACTCTCAGGGATGGAGCAGCCACAGCTGCTCTGGGCAACCTGTGCCAGTGTCTCACCACCCTCACAGGAAACAATTCCTTCCCAATATCCCATCTCTCCCTGCCCTTTGGCAGTGGGAAGCCATTGCCCCTTGTTCTGTCCCTCCAAGCCCTTGTCCCACATCCCTCTGCAGCTCTCTTGGAGCCCCTTTAGGCACTGGAAGGGGCTCTAAGGTCTCCCTGGAGCTTCTCTTCCCCAGGCTGAATGCTTGTTGATGCCAAGAAAACAGTAATTTAGAGCAATTTCACTGTGTGTCCAAAACTTGGGGAAAGTTCCAGGAGAGCCAAATATTAGCACAGATTATATGACACTGCATGGCACTGAAGACAAGGAGTGAGCACTCAGGTACTGCTGGCCTGGAGACTGTTCTACGCAGCCACACAAAGGCCAACTTGCTCTCTCTCCTCTTACCACCACACATGGATAACCCACTATTACTTAGGAAGGAGATCCAGGCAATCAAGTGAGGAATCTCTGCGCAGTTCAGACACTCCAGCTCTTAAGTGTTATCATCTCCGCGTGGACAGTCAGCCTGACAAAAGCAGCCACGGAGAGGAATGTGTTCGGCCATGCAAGGAACAAATATGATTCATTTCTCTAATTCTCTCGTTTCCTGAGCTAGACAGCCTGGAGCACCTGGGAGGCAAAGCAGTACTTACCTTGGACTCCTTGTGGGTGGACATTCTGAGAAAAGTGAGGAAGACACTCCGGTGAAGACATCTCTGCATGTCATTCACCTCTGGGTGGCAATCCCACAGTGCATCGAACTTGCGAGGGGCATAGTGCAGGTAGGAATCCAAACACTTCTGAAGGGTCTCATCAAATATCACCTTGGGCACAGAAAGATGGGAAGGAGGGAATGTCACACATCCATAGGTTGTGCTCAGGGGTAGCCCAGTTAAATTTAATGCAATCTAAAGCACTCAAGAGTGTTGAAAGGATTCCCATAGCCATCAAATACAAGCAGACTCCTAAAATCCACAATGGAAAAATCTATAGGGAAATACTTCCTTTGCACTCTAAGCTGCAGTAATTAAAATTAAAATGTTTCCCCGGTGACATAATGAGCATAAACAAATCTGTATGGAAATGACTTCAAGTCTGTAGCTTTTACAAGCACCGAGATGTTCATGCTGTGCCTTCAGTGTCCACAAAATAACTATTACCTGACACCAAAATTTATCATGAGGCAAAGCCAGGAGCCAGTTGAGGTCATCTGCAATGAATTTTGCTCTCTCCAGGAACTCCTCCACCAGAGCAGAGTCTCTGACAGCGGGGGGAGGTCTGTACAGCACAAAGGACCGATCTGCTTTGATTTCTGGGTGCTGCAGGAAGCCAAAACACTGCATTAAACCAAGGGACAGCAATGCCAGTTACCATCTCACTGCTCACCGCATTTCAGGAAACACAAAAACACATTTTATTGCAATTTGACATTCACAGGATCACAGACTGGTTTGGGCTGGAAGGACCTTAAAGATCATCTCGTCCCACTCCTGCCACGAGCAGGGACACCTCCCACTAGAACAGGTTGCTCCAACCTGGCCTGGAACACTTCCAGGGATGAAGCAGCCACAGCTTCTCTGGGTAGCCTGTGCCAGTGCCTTAGCACCCTCACAAGGAACAATTCCTTCCACATATCTAACTTAAATTTCCCTCTTTCAGTTTGAGCCCATTACTGCTTGTGCTATCACTACAGTTTCTGATGACAGGAACATTCAGGTCCCCTGTAACTTTCCATTTTCTAATCTCTCAGTGCAGTGGGTTTGTATCTTTATTTATCAGCAATACTTTCAGATAATTTGGTAATGTTGCTCCTTGCTTTCTATTAACCAAAGCCTTGCAGAGCAATGCTCCCACACCTTCAAAACAAACAGCAACAGCTTCAGGTCAAGCCTTTGAACTCTCTCTTTTTCCTCTGAACTGGTTCTTGCACAATATTTCATGAACTCAAACTGACACAACCATCAAACACAGAAAGATATATTTTCCTACCCTTCCTGAGGGTTACTGAACAGGCTTCGGCTAAACACTCCCACCCTAGGGGCAGAATTAGGATGAGCAGCAGCTTCAAGCTCTGCCTCATCCCACATGTGTGCTCAGGGTAAAGCTCCTCACAAGCAAGCAGCATTACTGGTCCCACTCCTGCACCTTGCTCAGAAGGCTCTCTCCATGCCTTAATTCTGGGAGAAATTACTGTGAGTTTAATTTTCTGATGCCACCGAGCTGAAGCCATTGGGCAGGAGGGCACAGGATGTTGTACATGGATGGACTGATACCAGTGCCACAGCTCACAGCTAGACTTGAGGCAGAGCTTGCAAAACCTCTCTAGGCATCTCTATTGCAGCAGAGGTTACATTACTAGTCAGGCTGTTCCTCAAAAGAGTAGTTCTGGGCAAACACAATTTACTGCAGATGTTGCATACAGTAGGTTTGGTGGTTGTGGTTTGGTTAGTTTTTATGGTGGGTAAATAGAATCACTATTTGAATGCACTAAAAGACAAAAATTTCTGTAACAGACAAGCTGAATAAATTTGATCATATCCTCGACCAAGGGGTGGTTTTGCCCAAGCTTCAACATAAGACAATTATTTACTAAAGGTCTTGTTTGGCTTTCAGGAAAAACAGAGCTCACCAGTGCTGGTAAAGTTCTCAGCTTCCCTGTCTTGGGATCCCTTTCTGTCAGCTGGAGCTCATCCAGAGGCAATGCTGGCATCCTGGTGGCTTCTTCCTGTCCTCAGCAAACAAAAGCAGCACAGGATGCACTTTACAAGGTCAATCAGGCAGAGGCATAACAAAAGAGGCTGAGCCTTGCTGTAACACACACAGAGAGCAGCTGGAAAGACATTTATGCAAAGCAATTTTCATCCCACCGAAATGCCAAATCTTGAGGGAACACCCAGGAGTCACCTGCACATGCCTCAGAAGAAACCTGTGATGTGTTGCTGTACTTTCATCCCTGTTCCTTACTGAAGGGCCACAAGTATCTTCCAAGATAACAAAAAGCATTTGGGGAGGTTGCTTAATATGGTAATTAGGTATTTAAATCTGGCTGCTGAAGAGCTGTGCTGAACTCTCTACCTTTGCAGCCTCTTTGAACGCTTGCAGTCTCTCCTGACAGCCTGAGCTGCACAGGCAATGCAAACACAGCCTGCCAGCTGCTATTGAGGGAGTATTTTGGGTGCTTACGCAGCAGAATCACTCAGCAGTCACCCAGACAAGGTACACAGGCTGAGCCTACACACACAGCCTGCCCTGCCCCTGCCAGTTCCCACGTGCTCACAACACCATGGCTTAATCTCCAACAGCACTGGTAGGCTCAGAAATGCTTCTACTAACTTTCTGAAACTAACTGGACGTCAAACATTAGAGGAACTCAAAAGAAAGTATGTTATGTACATTGTTAAAAGAGTTCAGCTGGTAACAAAAAAAAAAGTTGCAGATTAACAGAACTTTTAATTTCTTTAGGGGGTTATAGCATTGTAAATTCTACAAAACGGTACTAAAAATTCTGATCTTGTCAAGGTCTAAGGTCACACATCTCCCTCCAGGCACATTTCACTGCAGTCACATTGCCTGGACAGAATGATCAAAACAAGAGAAGGGTCTTCAGCTCAACAACTG